AAAGCTTGGGTATCATATTTGAATCGGACATCACCGGTGCCGTTCGACGGGCGACGTCTTGTACGATGTACTTATGGATATTTTGGTTGCGCGATCAGCATTGCAAGACAACATAACTGCAAGACCACCACTGTCTGGTATTGGGAAGGAGCAGGTTTTCTGACCCAAAAATCTAGTTCCTGATAGATATCATTCAGAATGCAGAAGTTGTGGGTGGTTCAACGCTATCTAGATCCACTAACGCAGTACCGAGGTACCAATAGACGGCAGCCGAAGGACGGCCACTCAACCATATCAGTAAAGTGCAGGGCGATATAAATATACGGTGCACACGTCTAAAGACATCGCATCATCTAACATCTCAATATTCCCAGGTCCCAAAAGATCGACTTCTCGACCCAACGCAGTCAAAACCCCACCACTCCGAACCGCTGCGAAGACATCATGGATCCAAGCCAACCCTCCCCGGACGGCACTTGCCATTTCTTCCAACTCCCACCCGAGCTCAGAAATGTGGTCTACGAATACACTCTCACGAGCTCAAAGGGTGTGTTATGTCGCGAAGAACCATCAATCAACTCCGGAATATTCCGCTTCTACGCGGTCCCTGTCATGGAAAAGAGACCTTTCAAAAAAGAACGCGAGCAAGATTGGTATGCAGCACAACTCGAAAAGAGCCTCGAAACAGCCTCCGAGATCAACCAGCTCAAACATATTTGTCGGCAACTGAAGGAAGAGACCAAGAACATCGTTGTATGTCGCAATGATATAGTGTTTGCATGCGGTCCACTTGGCCTATTGAACTTCCTCGAAGAAGTTCCCATGGCCCTGCATAGTTATCTCCGAGAGATCGCCGTATGGGAACACCGTCCCCTCCTTGTAGGAGAGTTCGTTGCAGACAGATATTGGCGTAGGATCGCTCAGCTCTGCGAAGAACACGAAGCCTTTACCATCCGGATGATCTGGCCTTCGCTTATGGAGAAGAGAATTATACATACTTGTAGCTGTTGGATCATACGCAAGATCGTGGCACTTGCGGTTCATGCCCGTAAAGATAGGACTCTTATCAGTAAGATGAGCGATGTTGGATGGTGGCGGAACATTCTATTAAGAACAACGGCGCTCGCGCATGTAGACCCAAAGAGATTTATACAAGGAGACTGGAAGTGGTCTGGAAGTATCAAAATGTTCCCTTCACACGAGCCATTTCCGGAACAACGGTTCAGATTATGCTTTGCCCTTCACCCGTTAAAAGAGCAGGAGTTGGAAAAGTGCATCGTCCCGATGAAGAAACTCTTCGAAGATGGGATATAGATGCAAGGACGATACCATGTCGAATACATGGTGAACTGGAATGACAGAAAGGGAAGAAGACAACACATGTATACGACATGTGGTCAGCATTCGCGAGCGAACAGTGCAGACATGGTCAGAATGCAGGATCGAGTAGAGGTAGCTATGACTACGCACGCAATTCCCAGCTTTGTCTGTCAGTCTCAGTATCATACACATGTTAATTCTCTCAACTTCCACTGGAATGATCTGCCAACACGTCGTTCACGTCTACAAACCCACTCGCATACGAGAAGTGCACACATCCAACCACCTCGCAGCGCCAGCCTCCTCTCTCAAACTCCTACCGTCATAAAATCACACCCAACAAACAAAATGTGCACATCTTCCCACACCTACTACCTTATCTGTAAACGGGGAGCCTACGGCCTTGGCCCCAACAAAGATATACCCTGCGTGACATAGACTTTCATCAATGGCACAAAGCCAAAGATGGCGGTCAGAACTGCACCGAGCCTGTCGTAATACCGGTGGTACGAGGGATACCGAGGCATATTGTGGTTAAGGAGGGGGATAGGCCGACTGAGTGGAGAAGTGCGCGTTGTGATGTTATGTGAGAGGTAGACGCGGGAGGTCATAGGTTCACAAAATCCTTGATTTGAAAGAATCAGGTATGAGGATTGAGTTTGCGAATCACGGGTTGCGGGGAGTGTGATGAGTAGTTTTGAACGTGGTTGACACATTCATGTGAAGGGCTTTCTTTGAGACAAGCAGATCACACATAATCCAACCCCATTGCTTTTTTGAAATTGTGCACATGATCTTCTTCTTTATGCGTTTTGGTTTGCAGGAAGGATGTGACGAGGTATGGAGGGACCAAACTGCGGAAAGGGTAGGTATTTATATAGACTATTGATGACGTGCTAGGTATACAGTCAAAATCATGTAAGCCCCCGGTATCTTTTTGACGTTCTCGGCCTCGCAATACCATTACTCTGACCAGGACTCGTTTTTTTTTTAGAGATCGGAATAGAGACGCCAGTCCATATCTCCTCGAACTCTCGATTTTGGAAATATAGGAAGCGGAAGGATATTGAGGAGAGACTGTGGAATAGTCGAACATTTTATGCTTGAGACCAAAAGACGTTCTCAGCTGTAGTCACTGATTTTCGGAATCATAGGTTCTTCCTCAAGGCCTTTTGAGTTCAAATCATGGAATTATGAACTAGGGGGCCCGTGATGCAAGCTGCGGCAGGATTCCTCGAGCAAGCCATAAGTTGCAGCTTGTTCTTCTTTCGAAGGACAGGCTCATACAGTGATGCGCGGTTGTTTTTGGTGTCAATAGACATACAATTGAGTCGTGTGCTTGGAAGACGAGAAAGGCGAACTTTTATGAAGGATCAGTAGTGAAAGAATGAGCGGACATGTAGAAGCCGACGTGCTATTTTAGTCCAGCTGTTTGGATATCGCTGAACATTTGCGATGGTGGAAAGTTGCAGAGGAGGAAGATCCACATCGTATTGGTGAATCCAGGTTTTGTTCGCACCTTTTCGTGGAATATGTGGACGAAGCAGCGTTTTGTGTTGTACGGGTATTTTTAACTCTCAGCCAGACATGCTATCTTGGGGCCTCCTTTTTTACACACAGGTCATCGAACGTGGTCTAGAAACATTCGGAAATTTTTGGTTTAGAAGTTGTTGGAAGATGTAATCGAGGTCAGGAACGGAAATTCATACTAGGAAGGGGGGCTGCGCTTAGTGTCGGCACTCAAGTCGTCTTCAAAATGCTGTCTATCATTTCTTCATAGGATGTTGACATAAGATCTGGTGAAACATCAGAACAAGAGCCGCATATAAGCGATTCCGCGTGCTGCTAGATGCCAACTACCTACAGAGGCGACAGATTGAGTATCAGCTCATTGCTTGCCCTCATAGTCCCTCTTCCACACCTCCCTAAAGCTGTCCTTATCCACAGCGAACTCCTCGAGGAAGTCCCTCTCAAGATCGTGTGTTCGTCGACCCAGCAGCACCAGACTGTGTAGCGGCTTTCCCAGATCCGCCTCACACAACTGTGCCAATGTGCCCGCAACAATCTTCTCATCCTCAGCACCAACCCGCGCAACACCCACAGCCAGACTCTCCTTGGTGTAAGCACCCTCCTGCTTGACATCCTCCTCAATCTCCAGCATCTGCTGCGCGCACTGCGCGACAGTCATGTACCGCGGCGGCTCATAGATCTTGCGTCCGCGCGCCATGTTCTCTAGACTCTGCTCCTTGACCTTGATGTCGAGGAGGACGAGCGTGTGTAGGCCGATGGAAACGTTCTCCTTGATCCGGTCGTAGAAGGAGGCGGGCTTCCAGTTATCAAGGAAGAAGACCATCGAGACTGTCTGCCCGAAGTTGTAGAGTTGTAGGCCAGTCGTGCCGATTGAGGTTAGGATGCTGGCGTTGGGGATGGAGCGGGTGGGGATCGAGAGTTCGCGGGCGCGGAGGACGAGGTCGGTATGTGTGGTCGCTCTGTTGGGTGTTAGGTAGGCGTAGTATGTATTCGCAAAGGAACATACCCAAACGGATCGCCTACGACAAGGAATGCGACGTCGACTTTATCAGCATCTTTGAGGATATCGTCGCTGGACGATTCGACCATTTCGCGGTCGGCTATAATGACTTCGCGGCCATAGAAAGCTTCCTACTGCCGTGATAATTAGTTTCCCAGTGCCTCACCCATCATTGGCATCCTCTACTCACAAGCACATCCTTCTCCACCAGCAGCACCGCCGTGTACGCCTCGAGGTAGACGCGCTCTGCCTTCTTCACGATATCCAGACCCTTGACAGTGATGTCCTTCTCGTCAGCCAAGCCGAGACCCACGAGATACAGCATGATGGGCAGTGGTGACGCGTGAGGTGGAAGTCGTGGTGGGGTTGTTCGCCAATTTCACAAAAAGTTGAGCGGGGCGATGATTTGCAGGTGGTAGGGCTGAGCGTGCCCGGGCCAACCCGTGCTGTCGCATCAGGCATCGCCTGAAATCGCGCTAGTAGACCGCAAACCGCGTTCCAATCCCCGGACTCTATTCACATTCCTCGTCGCACCCCACGCCTCTTGTGTTCGACTTTCTGTTTTGTATAGCTGTAAGAAGTTCGCGACGCGCTTTGTATGATTATAGGAGCCTTTGGGCGACGGAGTAAGACACCATGTCGGACAAGGATAAGATGGCCAAGTATCGGACGGAGATCCAACAGGTTAGTCAATCGCATTTTGTTCTTGTGGTCTTCTCATGATTTTTCTTTGACGTTCCAAACAAGAAAGAGATGGATTTTGGAAAGTTTGGGTTGAACTACGCTGCCTATAACATTATCGGCCTTCACATGCTTCCCTGTACATGAAGGACGCTGTTACGCGCGCCTACGCAAGCACCAACACAATTTCACATTTGGATGAATACATTCCAAGACTCCGGAAATTCATTTCCATATCACGCCAATGTTCATACATCGTGTATGGGTTATGGTTCTTGTTCATCCGCAATCACGTTCTAGATGGACAGCCAACATGGCCCCAACTCTACTTCACCTACAATCATCCCATCACCCACCCCATCCCATCTTGCAAAGATACAAGCGAGCTCCCAAAAAAGCTCACCCACAGGATGCCCCCAGCACTTGTACCACCCACACATTTCCTTGACTCAGACCCTTCCCCCCAACCATGTTGCAAGAGGCCACCACCATGGCCTCTTCTACATCCTCCCCTGCGCTTTCTTCGCCCCCAATGCCTCGGCCCGAATCTCCAGAAGCTCTGCTACCATTCAAAATCGACCTCGACGTCGGCCTGAACCTAACGATCCCACAGATGATGTTCGTCTCCGGCGAAACCGGCGAACCATCACCCGAAACAACCACCCTGATCGAATCAATTGTCCAAGACCAAGTCCAGCACATGCTAAGAGAATGCACAGCTCTAGCCACACGTCGCGGCAGTAAATCCATATCCACAGACGACCTCTTCATGCTGATCCGACACGACCGGGCCAAGATCTCCCGCCTTCGGCACTTCCTCCAATGGAAAGACGTGCGACGCTCCGTCAAAGACTCGGACGACAAAGGCGGCGATGGCGGCGCAGACGTCGGAGCCGGAGATGCAGACATAGCCGCCGGCGTGGTAGGAGCAGGTGGCCCCGGCGCCGCCCCCGTCGACGCCTCGAAGAAAGCCAAGCGCGCAAAAGTCGATCTAGTCTGGGACGTGCATTCCTTCTTCACTGAGTTCCCCCCGCAAAAAGACGATGTCGAAGACGAAGAAGAAGAGGAAATGAACTACGCTACCCTTCAACGCCTCAAAAACGCAGACGAACGTACCAAAGACATGACGAGGGAGGAATATGTCCACTGGTCCGACTGCCGCCAAGCATCCTTCACATACCGCAAAGGCAAGCGTTTCAAAGAATGGGCTGGGTTCGGCCTCATTACTGATTCCAAACCTTCCGACGACATCATCGATATCCTCGGTTTCTTGACGTTCGAAATTGTACAGACGCTTACGGAGGAGGCGCTCAAGGTCAAGGATGCGGAGGATCTCTATAAGAAGAATCACGGTGGTGAGCAGAATAGGCTCAAGAGGAAGAGAGAGCGCGGTCTGTTTGATCCGCCAGAGGAGGCAAGGGAGCCCGTGCAACCGAGTCATGTGCAGGAGGGTTACAGGAGACTGCAGAGGGGAAACAACAAGGCGAAGGCTATGCTCAATTTCACAAGGAACGTGCATAGGGCGGCACTCAAGTTGGTGAGTAACAATATGCGAAGGGTGAGAATATATGCTAATGAAACTCAGATCTAGAGACGAAGTGTAGTATCCGAGTTTGGCTCAGCACGAGGTGTTTGGATAAGGCGCTTTGATTATTTGATACCCTAACCAGGTAACAGGGTGTATGGCGTCCGTGTCGTGGGAATTGGGTAATCCGGGGTACTTTCAGGAGTGCGAATGAGAACCATTCAGGCAAGCATCACGCAATCATATCCACAAACAATGCATGAAAGCAGACCAACTCCAAGTTTGACTACTGGTTTCTAATTCCGATGCGCATATCCTTTTTGGTACACTCATAGCATCGGTGATCAGAGTGAGGGCAGCCTTGTCGGTCGAGTATGCATGGAGAGAAGAGTCCTTCACAGACGTAACATGAAACATGACCGCATATGCCCAGATAAAAAGGAGATTGACGCCCTCCTTTAACCTTGAAAAGACCCACGCCAGGTGTTCATCATGATATCCCGTGTTTACTCCGCATCGTCGCCAAACTGAGCTTGACGCTTCTGCTGGACACGCTCCTGCCTCCTCTCCCTCGCCGCCTTGGTCTTCGCGCGCTTGGCGTCCATCTCTTCCTGGATAGCCCTCTCGCGGGCCTTCTCAGCCTTGGCCTTGTGGATCTACGATGCATGTCAGTAGCCGAGCATGGAGCGGGGTTTTGACATAGTCATGATGTCATGGCGGACGTACGTGTTCAACGAGAGCACGCTTGTGCTTGAAGGTATTACCCTTGGACAGGTGGTAGAGCTCGTGGTAGAGGTGCTTGTCGATCTTTCCGGCGGCACGGTACTTGACGAGGAGACGGCGGAGGACACGGAGACGGCGCATCCAGACGATTTGGCTATAGACATCCGCATCAGCAAACAGTCTCCTTCATCCTTCACTCCCCACAATGAATCTCTGTCGAGTCCATTGCGGGAGTGGCATCGTGATTGCGTACCTTGGCATACGAGCGTCCTTGGTACCCTTCCTCTTACCGAAACCACGGTGTCGGCCAATTCGTCGAGCGGCGGTCAGCTCCCGGGCGCGGGCACGCGAGTGCATGGTGACGGGCTTGCGGATGATGAGGCCATCCTGGACGAGCTTGCGGACGGTCTGGCGGGAGTTGGCGTTGGCGATTTCGCTGGTCTCGTTGGGGTCGAGCCAGATCTTGCGCTTTCCGCAACCGACCACGGAGGCCGCGAGGCGCTTCTGAGTGCGGAGGTTGACCCTGCGAAACACACTCCGTCAGTATTTTGATCAATTGTACGGTCGTGGACGATGGAAAGTGCTATCGTGAAAAGAGGGGTTCGCCACGTCTCGGGCGCCTGCTGAGCAGCACTGCGAGTCGGCGACGTGGTTGCGGGTGCGGAAGTGCTCTTCGAAGCAGTGCTGAGGGTATGCAATCGGTATTCCTTACATTTTGACGGGTTGGTTGTCCTGGAGGTTAGTATCGAGAGTCGCGGCAAGACGTTCGCAGAATATTGAGGATCCGACCTGGGCAGGTGCGCGTGATCGCTTAGAGCGCCAAGCTCGTCACGTGCCGGCCACTAGTCGTTTTACGATCCTGACCCCAGACACCAACAACAACTTCAATGCACCTTCCAAAACAAAGATTGCCGCTAATGCATTACGAATGTTCCAAAGTATCACGTATGGGCTTTCTATCTAACCATAGAGTGGGACTGTGGCCCTCGTGTCGCGAATTTCAACGCCAAAGTTTACAGTACCAAGATCAGCTGTGTGGCAACGTTTCGCGACCGCTAGATGCGTACATTAGGCACAATTACTCGTGAGTCAACGACGGATGGCTCGAAAGCTTGATTCTATCAGTAAACCGATGGAATCGCAGCTCATAGTCGAATATCTTCCGCTGAGCCTGAGCAGCCCATCACGCGACAACGCGCATACATCTAATTGGCATCGACGATTGATGACGCACTGGAGTCATCGACGCCCAGGCCACCGTGCTGCGTGGTGTGCCGCATCTATCGTCGTGACTTATTTCCGGCTGTCCCAAGCTAATTCCTGCATCTGGGTTATCACCGCGGAGACTAGGCGATGGCGATCACTGCACTGATTACAAGTCAAGAAGCGTATCATGCCAGAACGAAGAACAAAGTGAACAAATCGCGGTATACAGAGACTCGGCACGTTACGTCTATCTACTGTAACTTCAAGTCCTCCTCACTCAGCACACCATACAGCTTCTCAATCTCTTGTCCAATGATGTTGAGATCATGCGCGAGCTGCCCAGTCACCAACGCGTACGCGTACAGCAACTCGTAATCTTCATCATTGGCAATGACCTTTCCCAGTCCACTCTGTCGGAATTCAAAGACCTTTGCTAGTAGACGATCTCGCGTGTGTTCGATATTAGGCAAGACGTCGTTGAGCGGATATGCCAACTTCATTGATGAGGCCATGACTGTGTACCGTTAGCTGGTGCTCTTAAGAAAGCTTGTTAGGTGTGACTCACCGGAGAAGAGATGACTGATGCGCCAACTCAGATCTGTCCACTCTTTCTTGGTATACCGCAAGACCTCCTTCTCGCCCTCGGAGGCCTTTACATCTTTGAGGATGACGACATTCATAGCATGGAAACTATCCAAGATACGGCTGGTCGCGCCTAGAATGACTTTGAAGCTCTTGTCCGGGAACGGGCCCTTGAGCTCGAACTCTGCGGCAGCTGAAGCTCGCAGCGTGTCCAGATGAGAAAGATACCGACGGAGTTCTAGCTCTTCCCGTTCGGACATGTAAGTGTACGTCCGGCTTGTGCGTTCGTTGGCATCGAGTAGGGTCTTCAGAGGTCCACGTTTCCAAATCAATCCCATCTTGAGCCATAGTAGAGACGTGCCCTTTTTGACCTTGCGGCGCGCTGAGATGGGCCAGATGACTCTCGTCACTATGATACCCCATATGCATCCAACCATCACTGCGACCACACGGTGGAGTACAATCTCCCAGATCTCGGGTGAGATGCCACCCTCATCGTCGTCGTCATCATCGTCCTTGACGGAGAGCGAGTATGCGTAAAGTGCAGAGAGATTGTAGGTCAGTAGGATGAAGCGACCCATAGGTCCCTTGCCCTTTCCAACGATGATGTAGAAGCAAAACAGGGAGATAACCCAGCCGAAGAAGCCCAACACAAAGGCATGCTCGTCAGCGGCGATCCATGCGGCGATTGCCAGTATAGCTCCGAGACATGTACCAGCAAAACGCTGGAAACCAGTAGTATTAGAGGCACCGATGGTCATCGAGCATACCAACATGTATGACAGCAAGCCCCACTCGCCACGCCAGTGACCGTAGAATCCTCGAGTCGACTGGATGAAGGACCACATGGCGTAGAGGACTGCGCCAATGCCAACCTTGACGGCGTATTTGAGGTCGTCTCTTCTAAAGACGGCCAATGATGTCCAGACGCGGTATGAAAGTGGCTGCTCGTTCTCTGGCTTATACGGGTCTCCACGGGTCGACTTGCGGTAGATGGGGTTATGGATCTCACGCGAGCCTCCTGGTGTGTGAGCGTCTGTCTCATCAACAAGATAGGCCGCCTCAGGGCTGTCTCCCGCCTTATCCTTCTTGCGCCCGCGTTGCCAGAATTTCAGCCAGGTGTAGGTCCTTTGCCGCGGGTAGCGATTGACATTAGCTTTGAGCTCCTCGAGGATGTCAAGGAACGAGACCATGTCTTCAGCGAAGTCTAACAGCGACGAACTAAAGTACCCACAGCTTGCGGCAACCTCCTCGAAGTCTGCTGCAATCGCTGCAGAGCTGGTCCTCGTTGGTATCTTGTTCTTGTAGACAGCCGAGAGGGCCTCCCGACGTGCATCTGAGAACAGGGCCTTAGCATCGACTAGACTGTGGCGAAAGTGCTCGTTGATAGCCATGTTGTACTCGGGTCCAGGTCCAAAAGGCAAATCAGAAAGGACCTCGCGTAGTGTGTATGCTAAGGATTTCTACTGGTGTTAGCACAATTCGCAGACAGCGACTCTTAGACGTACCATTGGCGGTCCCAAGCTAGCAATGAACACCGAGAACATGTCAGCAGGCGTAAGGTCTGACTTCAAAAGGTTCGCAACTTGATCAGACTTCTTCTTGGTCGGAGTGGACTCGTCGTCGGATCCAGCTGCTGAGGGATATGCAGATGCTTGGGAACTTTCCGGCAACTCGTCGATAGATGCAAGGATGCTAGTCCGCCTCTCGGTATGGCTGAGACTAGGAGACATTTGCGGAGGACTGAAGGACATCGTATGGTCCGAGAATATCGACGAGTTTACCGTTCCATTAGCGGGTATTGATCGTTGCGACGTGACGCTGGCGCTAGGCTCGGTCTCCGATTGCGCCAACAGTGTAAATTGGGTTTCCGCAGCGCTCCGCAATCCACCACAGCTCTGCATGAGCTTCTCTAGACATTTGACCAGTTTTGCGTGAATCCTGTACTCTTCCTCCGTGCCCAACGCGTAGTGCTCAAACTTGGCTTCTCCCAGGTTCTTTACAAGTGTTTTGAATGTTGACTGGCTCTTGTTCGATGCTTCGACATATGATTCGCTCTTAAGGTCTGATTCAGCACCGGAAAGGAAGCTAAGGGTGATGTTGTTAAGCATCTCTGCCATGGCATCGGTAGACTGAATGAAAGTATCGCGGAATTCGTTGCGCGCCGACTTTGGTTGTACGAGGAGCGATACGAGTGCTGAGGCGGAACAACCCATAATTATCATCTTCAGAACCTGCCAGACTTTGACGTAGGAGAACTTGGCTGCCTGAACAGCTCCCTCCTTGGTCAGGATCGTGATGAGAGCTAGCGATGTCAGTGAGCAAGCCACGTTGACCAGTGGATTCCCGAGCTTCTGTTTTGTCCATCCAACAAGGCCCAGACCTCCTCCACAGAACACAATGAGCACTATCACATGCCCAAGGACAAGCAGATCTTGGTTTCCAAAGTATGCGGACACGGCCATGCTAGAGAAGGATACGAAGGCGGCATACAGAAAGGCGGCGAAAGCCAAAATGACAGCCTCCAGCATGCTGCCGGCCGAGCGAGCTGGGTGGAAGTAGACAGTGATAGTCGCGACTATGTGCTTTCCATCGTTCTTGCCCAGTAATCCTGCGATTGCTGGTACGAACGTCGCCAACGATCCGAGGACATAGGCCAATGAGCACTTCATAATGCCAATTCCGATAGGACTCGTCGCATACGCGTAGCCTTGTCGGCATTTGTTCGTGAGCACCACCTTCGCAAACTCGACTCTTCCCATCTCCCGGTGTCTCTCAGCATCGTATTGGCCGGGCGCAAGCAGGAACTCGGAGGATTCGGTCGGTCGGTGTTGGGATCTTCGTAGGGTGAAGGATTTCTTGATGCGCTCGCCGGTTTTGGGCTGCACCATAGTCGCGCTGCGTAGCTATAGCTCATGGTCAGCGCATTGCATACATAGACTCTGGAGACGCGACTTACGCTGGGCCGCAGGAAGCGGCGCTCAGCCGGGGTTTGCGGAGCATCGTTAGCCATCGGAGAGGTCGTAGACCGTATACTCTAATAGGACTCTAGGACATGGCGACTGAAGTAGCTGTGAGAGATGCGCCGTCCAAGCGCGTCTTGGTGATTGTTGGTCGTGAACCCTGCAGATGCCCAGATCAATGGCACTGGCGCTAACCGCCACAGCCACCTGCGCACCCACGTAGCACCTCGATCGGTGCTTACATACTGTACTACCTGCGCACCATGAGGAATGAGGCTGGTAGCTTCAGCGCTCGCAATCACCGCGTCGAGATGTCATACAAGGGTGACGGTGAATGCGCGTGACGATGTCGGTGCTTTTGCCGAGGCGAAGACTAGCGGCATGTTCATAGGTACGATTTGGTCATCATCAGCGATACGATGAACTCGACAGAAGACACCTCAAACTGAAAACAGAAATTGGTCAACACGATGATGTATGCAGAAAACGGAGACACGTGGAAGTGTTACGTTCGCGGATAGGTCAGATTCGCTAAGAAGAGTGTCCTTGATGAACCACCTAATGACTACCCTCTTGCCTCTTCAACCGTTCAAACAACTGAACAAAAGCCTCTGGTTCCTGCGCACCTCCGATCTCAAACTGATCGTTAATGGTAAAGTTGGGAACGCCTGTAATCTGTTGTCGGCGCGCCTGCTGGACTTCCTTGTCAACTTCAGGTCCTCCTTTGCCTGACTCCAGCCAATCCTTGATCTCTTTCTCATCAAGTCCAGCCTTGATTCCTGCCTCGGTAAGGATCTCTTGGGTTGTAATGTCCTTCTCATTCTCAAAGTATGCAGCAAAGAGTTCCTCGATCACACGAGTCTGCATCTGCGGGCCCTTTGTCTTTCCAAGTTGCACCAGTCGATGCGAATCGCGTGTGTTTCCCGTCTTGCCACCGTACTTGAAGTTGATTCCCTCATCTTTGCCAATCTGCGAGAGACGTTCTTGCATCATCGCTGTGCGCTCTTTGCCGAACTTGGATTCGTACAGTTGTTGCTTGTCGGCACTCTTTGGCGCATCCGGGTTTAGATAGAAGGGATACCAGCTCGTTTCGAAGGTATCTTTTGAGTCCGGGTGTTTCTTCATGTAGGCCGCAATACCCTTTTCCAGGCGCTTCTTTCCCACATAGCACCATGCTGTGACTCGGTCAGTGCCGAACACATAGATTGAGATGCGTTCTTCATAAAGACTTACGACATACAGTGTCGCTGACAATATCAACCTTGAAGTTGGTCATCTTGCGTAAACTTGCTCTGAACGCCACGATGAAGTTGTGCGAATTCGATTTCGCTGTTGGGGTGATGTCATCGCTGCTAGGCTGGCTGGTCTTTATACGTACATGGATGGCAAGTGCTGCTGACAAATTGAGTGGTGGAGGTGGAAGTCGCGATGATCGGCCAAACTCGCCCTTCCAGCCGCTTCCGAGGCTATTCTAGAACACATAGCCATCTCTTCTATCGCTTGCGACAACACCATACCTGTTCACCACTCGGTCATTAATGGAATGCGAATCGGCATCCTTTGGCTTGTGCACTATCGACTCGTAGTACACGCGGTCAAAGAATGAGTGATTTTTGTTACATTCGCCTTCTCACAACACAGGCGGTAGTCCCTGCCATTTGACTCGACGTGGATTCTATTCCGCAACCCACGGTATCATGCTAATATACAAAGCAAAGTGTCCACTAACGCCGCGCTATGCTTAAAGACAAGTTATCCCTCATAGCTGTCAAGACAGGCAGCAACAGTCTATATCCGGTCTACGCGAGGTCTGCCACCCAGCCACTTATCTCTTTGGCTGCTTCCCGCGTTCCAACTCCTGTCGAAACTTTGGACCACGAAAGATGATCAGAATGATTCCTGGTATACAGAGGAGGTCTATAATCCCCAGACCGGTGAACGCCCAACCCCAACCCATTGCATCCAAAATGCTGGCCATGATCAGTGAGGAGATCGCGGCAGCCATGTTGCGCATGAAACCTGCCAAAGCCACTAGACTAGCCGCTTGGCCAGGGTCGCACTCAGTCTGGAAGGACGTGCTGGTGACGAAGATGATAGACATGCCGATTGCAGCCAGAGCCGTACAGAAGAGGACCGCTGCGGGATGAAAATGAGCGAGCGCAAACCAGCCGAACATGATCTTTCCAGCTGCGGCGATGACGAAGCCGAAGATCTGGATGGTAATTCTTCGCTCAGGTGCAACCTTGCCAGTGGAGCTCTTCGCAAGAGCCCTCTTTCGCATCCAATCGGAAAGTCGACCGACTACCATCGAAGCGACGAACATCGCAATACCGGGACATATATAAGCATACCCAGTCTCTGCTGCCGTCCAACCGTAACCCTCTTGCCAAATGGTGGCAAACGAGATGAAAATGGCATACAGTCCAGCAAACTGGAATGCTCCGTTGAAGGAAACGATCAAGTGTGGAGGGTATTTAAGAAGATGCAGGAACTTTCGAGGCGTTGGACGGGGAGCTTTCGGAGCTCTCAAGTCCGTACAAGGCTGTGTCCGGAAATTGGGTATCGAAAACCAAGGCTGATTTGCGACAGGTGCGCCGTTGCCTACCAGCGATCGCAGTGTCTCTGGCGTACAGAAGACGATGAGGATATATACCGGAAAACTTGCGAGCGAGAGGAAGCCGAATATCCATCGCCATCTACTCTCCTCCGCGAGTGCACCACCAATAAGCGGACCAAGTACAGGACCAAGCTGAGGTCCCATCAAGAACCATGCTAAAGCGGTTCCACGTTTAGCAGGCTCAGTGATATCAGCAACAGTGCCGGCCCCGACGGAGAATACGATACATGATCCGAATGCCTGGAAGACACGGAGAATGTACAGCTCCGCGATATGTGGTGGCAGCACAGCAAGTAGGGTGTTCGCGACGAGAAAACTGCCGAGTCCGACCATGTACACTGTTTTCCTTCCGCCTAGATCTGAGGCAGCAGCACCGAAGAGAGGCTACGCAATCTTAGTTTTGCATTTGGAGCTACTGGTACGGATGACTTACGGCAATGGCGAACACCATCATATACATTGAGACTGTACCGTTCACCGCAGTCTCTGATGCACTGAAGATCTTCTCGAATATTTTCAGGGAAGGCAAGTAAACCGCTCCGCATAGTGGTCCAAAGAAGCCCGCCGCTGTGACGACACCCAATATGAATCTTTTGCGATTCACCGAGAAAGCCGAGTATGGTTCTGGCAACGATGGAAGAGCAGTAGGTCCATTCGTTGATGGTTGCTCGGTTTCATTCCGGGGTTGCGCTAAAGGGTAGTCATCGCTGTCGATGCTCTCACGGTACCGGCCATTATGGCGATCCTTCACGAAGTCGATTGGGGAACGCATGGCAAAAGAAGAGAAGAGAACAATGCGATATGTTGAACGCTCGACGAGGAGCGTTCTTGGAACCCAAGAAAACAGATAAGCTGGATATGTACGGCAACGTCAAACCTAGATTGCCCAATCCTCGGAGCGTTCTATGTGCCGACAACAAGCAGCGCTGAACTACAAGATATACAACTTTATCCTGGGTACCGTTGCGCTGTGTTTGACAAATTGTAGCATAGCCCTGCTCCAGGCGCCCTGGTTTGAAGGCAGTGTTTTCGTGTCCGCTGCGGTCGGGTTCCCACCAGAAAATTGCTGAGCCGCATCCCACGCCGCATCCGCATCGTCATGCACCCCGCTGTTCTAGCCTCAGGGCTTGCCAGTCGCGGATCGTACTAAGTGCGCGTCATTGTTGGTGTTGAAAACGTCCGACAAAATGACCCGACAGATCAACCCGACACCACGACCGCAACTCGCGGCAATGACCCGATATAAAGTCCAGCAATACACATGTCCTGTCTTGTACGTGTGATCACGCATGCAACGGCTAAAGCTTGTTAGAAGTTTTATGGGGAGTCATCTTCATTGCGTCTGTATCCGGCTCGTCATGCTGCGTTTCGTGGTGTGCGCAAATGTGGCGGCTACCCTATTCTACGCATGAAAGACGTCTGTTATTACCTGAGATGGCGCAGACCAGGACGAAACAGTCACAGCCTCCACCAACGAGTCGAATCATCTTGGGGACCAGGGCACGCATTTCGGTCAGTAGGCTCAGAACAACATGTTGCAAAAGCTCTTGCCATTTGTTTACCTGCTTCGTTCGATCCGGTCGCAACTTTGGGGCGCCTGTGTTCATACACCAACGGCTCCGGCTCTTAATTCCTATTCATGCATATCCTCAGCAAACTCTTGTGGTCTGTGAGGCACAGGGAGGGCGAGCGAGTCCGCTTGGACGACGACCGTGACAGAAAATCTGGACACGACAAGGATGCCATCCGTGTAATGGGATGAAGGCTGTTCAAGGTTACCACTTATCTGGACCACACCGAGAGTCACTGCTGGCTTTGATATGACATTGCATCGGGTTGAGTATACATGTCGTGCGGAAAATGCAACAAACATGCCATACGTCTGAGACTACCTGGGTGGTATCAACAGACAACAGCAAGAGTATACCTGTAAACGTCATCAGCTGATATACTGTTGTACCAACACCGTCAGCGCATGTTTACCCAGCCAACTACTTCAACGCTGCGCGATGCACGTAAGCCCATTGGCCCAAGTTCATGGTCGCCCTCCAACCGATGTCCCAAAGACAAGCATCTCGCAATATTGGGAAGCTCAAAATATTGTTACAACGACACGTATACCCACGCTCCGTTCAATGATCGATTTGTCGTTGCATCCAACGTGCAGCATCGCATGTTCATGCAGCCTACCTAGACCCTGAACTCATTCGCCTTTCGAGTCCCGCAACCAGAACCCCGGGTCAACACTGCACGGCTTCCCACTGCGCTTGCAATGACAATTCATTTATCACACGTTGGCTAAATAATGCTCTGCCTGTAAGCTGCAGTCCCAACACATGCAACATAAGCGGCCCGTTCCCCCTCGCATCACCAACAAACAACCACGACCTGCATGTTATCCAACAGTATTCCGCGCCTCAACATCTGCCGCGCAGTATCGTCTTGTCATGATTGCGCAGGCTGCGGATGAAGGCGCGAAATCTGCTCAAAACCTTGGAAACCTTCTCACCTCGCTTACCGTCTAAACCCATTCCGGCATAGCGCTCTGCGGGCCGCCCTTGCTCCTGGAGTCTCATCGACTATGAGAACATGGGCCAGTAGGTCTATGGCCGATCTGTCTGGTGGCATGATAGGCTGAGATAATAATCGGCAGCCTTTGACCAATACTGGCATGCGGTGGCGCCGTCTGCAGAGCTCTGGGTACCGCGTGGGAACGGGTGCGAGAAGGGTTCCGAGCCTGGTATACCCTGGGTAGGAGCTTGCACCACAAGAAAACGATATAAACGTCGTGACTCCACGTTCACTCTCCGGGCATATCCTTAGTGGTAGACTTCACTTGAGTTTCAGACTTCTTTGTTCGTCAAATCTTCCGCGTTTGAGGTGTGAATCATTTGGGTGGTTGCCGCTTCCATTCAGGATCACGCAGGGACAAATCTGCTCATAACTTGCTCAATCCTACTTCTCACACCACTCATATTCATTCACTTGCGCTGTTTCGATTCAAACAAATTTCTGGTAGGCCGTGCTTTGATTGCAGTCGCTGCGATATAACTTTGGACTCTTTTCTCACTACTTCCATGCAGGTACAAGCAATCATGTCTATGGATATGGAAATGTCGATGGGTCCGACGAGCACCGGTATGGCTATGTCGGGAATGTCTATGGCACCGTCTGCTACTGGTATGGCGCCAATGGCTACGTCGTCAGGCGCAATGGGTGGCATGGACGATATGGCGGACATGATGGGCGGATGCAAGATTAGTGTAAGCTTCATCCGCGCGCTTTCGCCGTCAAGAAAGGAGAGCCTTCAGCTAACAATTCATTTCGCAGATGCTGTGGAATTGGAACGTAATCGACACATGTTTCATTGCCGAGTCCTGGCACGTACGGTCCAAAGCCATGTTCGCCGGCTCCTGCATCGGAGTAATCCTCCTCGTTATCCTCCTCGAGTTTCTGCGGCGCGCGGCCAAAGAATACGATCGCTACATCGTTCAGCAGCACTCCAAGACACTCGCTTCCTCGGCGATCGGCTCCTTTTCCTCGTCCTCATCGAACGCCAACGACAGCACGACTAAGCACCCTGCTGCTACAACATCGCCAGCTGCTTGCGGCGCCATGGCTACGACGACAAGCAAATTTCGACCGAGCATTTTACAACAAGCGGTTAGGGCGGCGTTGCACATGGGTGCATTTGCTGTGGCATATTTCGTCATGTTGCTGGCGATGTATTACAACGGGTACTTTATCATCTGCATATTCATCGGTGCGTATCTTGGATACTTCATCTTCGGGTGGGAGAGCTTCAACGTGAGCAGTGGTGGCGAAGATCGTATGCAGGAGAATGCCACGGTTTGCTGTGGGTAGGAACGTAGATGTTTGTCAGGATAGACTACATGATTCGAAAGTATCTGCGAAATTAGCGACAATGACAAGAATTCACGATTTGCAGTATCACATGGCACATGTGTTGTTATAATGAAGTGATTGATTGTCCTGTTTGGTATCTCATGAGCCGCCGAACTCCCCTCATCCCCTAATCATCGGACACCTCTAGATAACCACCCGTGGCATATATCTTGGTAGACTCCATATGGTACATAGCTTGTGAGATCGTCTGCACAGTCTCAGCATGGATGTCGCGTGTGCAAGTGTTACGATGGCACTCACAGTATCGTGTTCATTGCACGCCATCAATGCGAGGATCGAATGACTTATTTGCCCTGATGAAAGGTCAGCATCGTGTTCGTAAGAAAGAGGGTATGACGTACGGGGCAGCCATCGCAAGTGCAGGTAGAGCCGCAGTTGCAGCTACCAGAAGCACAGCCGCAGTTACCCTTCATTTCGATGGTTGAAGATGGGTTGTTGGTTTGTGGGAAAGTAGGTTGGTAAAGTTAAGAGAGTAGGCTTGTAAGGTTGACTTGATTGTTGTGATGTAGGAGTAAGCAGCAGAGGGCCAGCGACCAACTTCTTATATACCCGAAGCATGCGCGACTTGTGCGGCAGCACAGCCAAACGCAGGGCCCTTCACGCCACCTCTTCCCTGCGGCAACGCCGTCAGCGGCGGCTCCCGTTCATGTGCTTCACGAGCTTTGCCCCGCATCCCACTGCGTTTGTAGCATTGTTGACTGTAAGCTTTGGCCTCAGTGGTCGATAGCTCCGTTGGTAAGTTTAGCCGCGTGCACGCATTTTGTGCTATTGGCTCCCACTTATCTTGCGTACATTGTGCGGTTGGTCGCCGAGTTGCGCGGGGGCATGAGAGACTTGTGCGGTTGGTCTAGCCTGGCTTCTAGAAAGTGCCAGGGCTTGCCTTGGGAGAAAAGTGGAGTTGCGTAGTTTGTGCGGATGGGTGCCAAGGGATCCGGACCGTGGGTTCAGGTCGTATTCGGGCCTTATGTCCTTTTCCGTCCCGCGATAAGAGACATCAGCGTCTTGAATGTTTCGGAGATTCAGAGTGTCTGAGCTGCTTAGTTCGACTGTTAGGTCATATCTGACCAGATCATGTGGATGGATAAAGAATGTTTTGTCTCCACAGAAAGAGCCTAAGACGGAACTCCTTCGCTGCTACGAACGTAGGTACATGAAACCTTTATGCCAGATAATGAGATCGGTCCTGTATTGATCAACCAATGAATTTGCCACCGCAGTATATGCAGGCATCGCAAGCAAGAAACAGGATCCGTGCCAGAGTGACGGGAAGTTCCCTTCGTTCGTATACATCATCTCCATCGTCGGAATCGTTGCTTTCTTGGTCGACAACCATGGCTTGCTCGTCTCCTTCCTGGTCGCTAGAACCCTCTTCATTCGCCTTGTTCATTTGATCACTGCTCCCCTCCCCTCTCTCTGATACCTCGTCGTCTCCTGCCACGCCTCTCATGACTGTGTTATCTCCAGTGTCGACGCTTTTGTTATGTTCCACGTCTTCTTGGGCCATGATGAACTCGTCGCTTAGAAATGGGGTGCTGCATATACCGCAGTACTTCGTGATGCCGGGCGCTTGAATAGCCAGAAAAGTAAGGCCACATCGAGGGAACACATGTCCGTTGGTGCAAGTTGCTGATCGGGGGTCTGCGAACGGTATAAATGCGGAGCAGAAATCGCAAGTATCTGCTACTGGGACTGCTGAACCTTGATTCGTCGAAACGCTGTTGCCATGCGTACCGGTGCCGGCTGTTGGTGCGCTGTCCTGCTCCGAACTTTTGTCTGCGGGCAAGGACCTGGATGTATCGTCATAGCCCATGACCATGTTGATGAGTGTGACGAGTTGTTTGTGATGCGTGCGAATTTCTGCACTGAAAGGCGTATGCGACAGCGATGAAGGAAGTTGTTGCAAGGCCACAGCGAGACGATACGCGATCAGAGTCTTCGGTAGCTCTTTATTGATCTGCGTCTTGTAGGCTTCAGACACGAGGATAGTATAGCGATCCTTCAGTGTAGGTGATTCAAGGAAAGCATTCGACTTGAATCCCTTGATCAACGAATCAAGATCGTTGACATCGGAGTACGCTACTGATGTGGTCGCGCTCATCTCACTAACAGGAGGACCTGTGTAAGTCTCGACTAACTTTGCAACCATCTCATCCGCGAATGCAGGTATGTCGTCAGGGTCCTCGACAACTTCTTCTGCCAACTTCTTAAGACTGTACACTATCCCTTCTGCGGTTACGTTCTCTTTTGGAAAGATGTCTAGTGAACGGCTGCCAGGTCGCAAAGAGCTGATAGCCACGGCGCCACTACGGTCAGCCGGAATACCGTACTCGATCATATCGGAAGGATGTACGCTGTTGCATGCCGCAATGAAGTCGCCTAGCGGAGATCTCGTGAGGCCCCATACCTTGGCCCTGCTGTTGCCTTTGAGTTCGTTCTTTGCACTAAACAGTGCCAGGTTATTTCCGATTCTCTCCCGCCATTCTGGGGCATCAAGGCTTTTGAGCCCATCAGGAGTCTGCTCGAGGATAGCAGTTGGACTATGGAGTGTCGATAGCAGAGAGCTTATATGGAGGCGAAGTGTTGTGGCCTGAGTCGTATCCCAGACAAGACCTGAAACTGGATCCCATCGACCGTCTAGATCATGCGTGTTCCCTTCGATGATAGAAGCGTCAAGAGCGGATATCGTTAGATATACTAGTCCCGTATTCGTGAAAAGGGCGAGCTTTAGTCTGTATTCATCTTCGACTCGGTGAAACCATTTCATTGGGCCGTCATATCGCATTTCGTGACCTGCATAGATAACTTCTTGATGCAAGCTTATACGCCCAGTGTTGTACGTGATAGTCCGCGCCCGTACATCCTCATTCGTAGCGTATACCAGTACAGAATAATAACAACCATCGCGTATGATCCAAGGACTCCAGGCGATATGCGAGATATATCTTTGCTGTTTGATCATGTCTTCGAAAACATTGGGTTGTGGGAAGATCGTCTCCGAAGAAAGTGGAAAAGACTCATGTGTTAACACGTCTGCCCTCCAGTCTGGCTCAGCTCCTAGGGAGGACGTGGGCGATTCAATCTTGAGAAACACGAGGTGGTTATCGTCATCAGAGACAACTAGCATGTGCGGGCCGTATACCAAGTGAGTACCGACAACACCAGCCGGTCCGGGGCAAGGCAGAGCGGGTGCCCAGGCGAACGCTCGAATGCGGCCTCTCGACCGCAGTCGCTCCTTAGAGTCGTGTGCCACGTGGCTAGGTTCGTCGTCCCAGTCTCCGAAGTGGTCAACGAGCGCATCGTTGATGATCAATCGTCGCGTCCAACTTGTCTCTTCTTCTGGCTTGCCTTCTGCTGCTGACCAGAGGGAAAGCGTCAGGTTTGCGGTAAGAGCAGCAAGCGCGCACTTTCGATGTTTAGCAATACCGGGCGGCGACCACGCGATGCTGATGGGAGCGCTATTAGAGATCTCTTCGCCGACGGAGTAGTTAGATGTCGGTGCAGGTTCTTTGAGTGGGAGCTCATCGGTCGAGAACAAGGGTACCTTGAGAGGTACATGCTGCCATTGCGGCAAAACTTGGTCTCGCTCGAAGTCGACGGTGTTCGGAAACTACGCAGTCATTAACAAAAAGCGCTTGTGTAAGTATCTGCACAGAAAGGTACTCACAAGCAGCTCTACGCGCTCATCCGACGCTAATGCAATGATGCCGTCGGAAGACCAATCGATTGCATCGACGCAGGCTGGCCAGCATCTCAGCACTGTCACGTCCGCCATGATCGCGCATCAAGTCTCAGAATAAGTGGTCCCTGTTGTTTAGTGGTTCTTGTCATGGCTCACTATGGTGAGGGCGATCGTGAAAAGGTTTGGACTAGCGCGAAAACGCGAAAAGCCTTGACATAGAAAGCGCAAAAGGTCTCGAATTGACTATTTTTGCATACAGAGACTAGAATTTCACATGGCACTCGGTGAACGCGCAGGGACGTGAGAAGCATCGAACACGCGAGATTTGCTGGCGCAGGATCGCGTTGAACGCTTTGGGATTAGTGCCGGACTTATCGATAGTGCTGGTACCGACCGCCGACGAAAAAGTGATTTTTCCGCCATCCTTCTCAACTTGTCCACACGAAGCATTGCCCGCCAACAAGATGGGGAAAAGACCGATATCTGACGTCGTTGCCGAAGACGGCGCGACCACCACGCCCGAACTTTCAAGGAAGAAGAGCAAGAAGGACAAGAGCAAGAAGCTCAGCAAGACGGCTGCAGTGGGTGCGACCGAGACAAATGGCGACGCGCAGGCTGTAGAGAACTCGGACGACGAATCGAATCTGTCCAAGGCGGAGCGTAAGGCAGCAAAGAAAGCAAAGAAGGCGGCTAAGGAAGCGAAAAAAGCGCTGAAGGCTGCCGCGGGTGCCGATTCAGACGAGCCTGCCGAAGAGAACGAGGAAGCCATCAAGGCGGCGGAGAAGGCTGCGCGAAAGGCAGAGAAGAAGCGCGCGAAGGCATTGGCCAAGGGCGAAGCTACCGAGCCCGTACCCTCCTCCAAGCCTACACCGGTCGACACCACAACGAGCGCAGCCACGGTCGAGTCGGGAGACTATGTAGAGAGCAAAGAGCTGACGCAGCTGCCCCAGTCGGAGGTCGATGCCTTCCTCGCCAAGAACACGATGGCTATCCAAGACCCCAAACCTGCCGCCCGCAAGATCCGTCCCATCCTGAACTTCAAGTACCTCCCGGTCGACGACGCGCAACGCGCCTTCTTCACCAAGTTCAGCGCCCCTACACCTATACAAGCAGCCGTGTGGCCCTACTTGCTCTCAGGAAGAGACATGGTTGGTGTTGCCGAGACAGGTTCCGGCAAGACGCTCGCGTTTGGTGTACCATGTGTGCGCTACATCGCAGCGCTGCCCAAGAATGAGCGGAAGGGTGTCAAGGCTGTCATTGTCTCACCTACGCGTGAGCTGGCTGTTCAGATCTACGACCAGTTGGTAGCGTTGGCCACACCGGCTGGACTGTCTGTAGTCTGCGTGTACGGCGGTGTGCCAAAAGACCCTCAGGTTGCCGCTTGCAAGAAAGCGCACATTGTGGTCGCTACACCCGGTCGTCTAAACGACCTGATTGGCGATGGCTCAGCAGATCTCAGCAAAGCCGAGTACGTAGTACTTGACGAAGCCGACCGCATGCTTGACAAGGGTTTCGAAGAAGCAATTCGGCAAATCATCTCGCAGACGCCCAAAAAGCGCCAGACCCTCATGTTTACTGCTACGTGGCCGCCCTCTGTCCGGGATCTTGCGTCCACCTTCATGAACTCGCCGGTTAGAATTACAATCGGCGACAACCAATCTGGCGAGCTCCGCGCCAATGTGCGCATCAAGCAGCTCGTCGAGGTTGTCGACCCCCGCGGCAAAGAGCAGCGTCTGCTGCAGCTACTTAGACAGTATCAATCTGGCAAGAACAAGGACGATCGTATCCTCGTATTCTGTCTGTACAAGAAGGAAGCAATGCGCATCGAGGACTTCATCCGCAGGCAGGGCTTCCGCGTGGGTGGAATTCACGGCGACCTGAGCCAAGAAAGGCGCAGCGCCTCACTGGCGGCGTTCAAGGAAGGCCATGTGCCCCTCCTCGTGGCGACGGATGTTGCTGCACGAGGTCTTGACATTCCCGCGGTGAAACTCGTCATCAATGTCACGTTCCCTTTGACGGCGGAGGACTACGTTCACAGGATTGGTAGAACGGGTCGTGCCGGAAAGGAGGGTTTGGCGATCACGCTCTTCACGGAACACGACAAAGCACTCTCCGGATCGTGAGTATCCCTTGCGCTTGCCTACATGTTTTCAGTGCGCTAACTCTATTATTAGGTTGATCAACGTCCTCAAGGCAGCAAACCAGCCTGTACCCGAAGAGTTGATGAAGTTCGGTACAACTGTCAAGAAGAAGGAGCACGGTGCATACGGCGCCTTCTACAAAGACACCGGAGACTCCAAGGCAGCTACTAAGATTACTTTTGACTAAGTCGCATGAGTCTAGCTGCGTGTTGTCAAAAGTGGACTCGGCATCTCGTAACGAAGCTGGTCGGCGAAGTAAATGCCGCCGGCTACAGCTGCAGCGCGGAGATCGACTTTGAGACCTAGAAGCATTTGTCTAGCGGAGGCGTTTCGGATCATGCAAAGCAAAAGTTCCGGTAGTGTACATTGTTGTAGATCGCGATGTGTTTAGTAATTACGAGTCTGCACAATATCTCATTCTTCGTAACGAAGGTCCCATCTTATGCATAGGCTGAAGAGAATCCCCTGTCCTTCGGCTTCCGGCTGTACCGTGCTTGAACAATCGTACGATTTCTAAACCTACGTATCTCCAGGTCCACACGCGAAGAAGGCTTCAGCCACCTCATCATACCATATGCACTTGTTCCTAGCTACCATCGTGAATCTCAAATACGCATGTAACCACATGCGCCAACCGACCGCCATAACGATAACAACTCGCCTACCTAATGCACTACGCTTCTATTACCACCAAAAGCCCACTCTGGCTCTCCACATGCCCACTCCACGGGGACAACCAAGCCGGCACACCGACCCCAAAAACTCCTCTACAGCCCTCACCATGTACATGGCTCGGCAACGGACCCGCGCTATAGGTTCTAACACACGCCGCTCCCGCAGACTAGACCCGCGTGTGCAGCGAAAAACGCGTCTGGCGTCAAAGTGGTACTTCGCCGAATGTGGTCGCCGACTATAGTTCGGACAAATCGTCAGGCAGCCAATCACATCGCGGGAGGGTGAGGCAGAGGCCCAGTCTTCTGGGGTGGGATTGGTGCCCTAGAACCCGAGGGGATTTATCATGCCTCACCGCAGTGAGGTAGTGTGTTCGCCGTGTGTAGGGGGATTCGGCGAGGAGATGTGTAAGATTGAGAGGTGGGTAGGTGTATATAAGGGTCTCGGTGGGTTGCTGTGCGGACGGAGTGCATTCCAGATCTCTGTCAACCAAGATACGCTCTTGAGACTACTGTTATACCACGCTATACGCTACCGAACTCTACGAAAAAGATTCGGCATACTTCCTCTTGCGTTCGGCATACCTCCATCGGCACATCGTCGGCATCGCCACATATACTCCATATCCATATCCATCCACGTCTAAACGATCACAATGTGCAAGAAGGCTTCCTGCGACTCCTGCAGTATGTCACCTACCACGTCTCTGTTGTACGAACACGACTAACATCGCCTCAGACAAGACCACATGGTGGGGCTGTGGTAAACATGTCGCCGGCGTCATGGACAACACCCCTAAAGAGCAATGGTGCACATGCGCACCCCGAGTCGAACAACATGGCACACAATATCCTCCCATGGGCACACTGTCTTCGGCGTGACTACCGGCTTGGTTGAGGGGATCGAAGGCATAGCGACGAGACAGTACGGGATGAAGGGCACCTTTGCTCGGAGTTTGGGAGCATATGGAGTACTGGTGTGATGATTTACGATATGGACGAGGCATGGATACGATTTCTGATAGCGTTAGCGATGCGCAATACATACTCGACTTTACCTTTTGAACACTGTTTTGTCGCTGGTTGTCATCGCGCTGTGGTGCTGTGTAGATCGCCTTGTCTGGGCCTTGTGTCTGTTGCACATGCCAGCATAACCGTTCGAATGATCACCAGCACGTATTTCAATGCCGAGGATACAAGCTGCGCCTTGCACGACGAGGCCTTGATCACGGCCTGACGGGACCTGGCATCTTTGTCCGTCGCCCGTCCCAGAAGCGTGGTGTTGGGAGCTACGACATTCCACCACCAGCTTTGTAGCACGGTGACCGCAGTGACCACGGAGTACGGTGGAAACATCTGGACCGTGATGATGACAGAAGCTGTCATTTTAGACCCTGAAGCGGGTAAGTTTAGGATTCAATCCTGCTGGTAAGGCTCGGCGGCCATTTGAAACAGCTTCTGGAAGTCTCAGATGCTTCGAAGTCAAACAGCTATGATGTCGACGGATGCCGGGCCAGTGAGGCATCTCCCTTCCAATCGGACCCCAAGAAAATGCCGGCGCAGATGGGTGGCGCGTACAGCGCAATGATAAGACAGTCAAAAGTCTTGTGCCGGATCATTGGAAAGGTAAGAATAGGACGGTTGGTGGTGGTCGAGTTGGAGGGAACGCGCGCGAACCAATGGGTTCGGAGAGGGCACACCCGCTTGGTGAGGCTGGTCTCATAAATGGGTCTGCTAAGTATAGCCGTTGCAGATGTGGAACTAGGCCCCTGCAACTAGCCAGTTTCAGCCATGGCCCTACAGGATGCGAGCCATGAGCTTCAGTGACAAGGTGAATGACAGGCAGCCACCCTGCTGCAAGAGGCGCATGTGGTGATGGAAAAGGCAGCGACTGAGGACTGGCATTGGGCAGATGCGGGGAAAGCAGAAAAAGCAAAACTCCAGGACCCCGTTGGCATCTCCTGCACGCGGTCATGGAGTAGTGGTAGATCCTGCTAGCGAAACGATTCTCGAATGTTTGAGATGGCTCTCGTGCATATCGCAGTAATCACAGGATGTGACTCGCGCAGCTCACACAATGGCTGGATCACGTCGGCGGTTAGCCCAAAGTATCCATGAATGGCGGCGGCCGTCGCGGACACCAAACGGAGACTGCCATCGGGGGGAGGTATATTTGCAGTCCATAACCGGTGCATGCTGCTGCTATTGTTGAGTTGTGAATCTCACGCGCATTCGTCCTTGCCGCTTCGTATTGTCGTGTATTGTCGCAATAGAGCGTACC